ACTTAAATAAAATTCCAACTTTAATAATTAAAGTCGAAAGAATTATTCATGGCTTAGACTTTAACACTATTTATTTATTTTAATGCATATAAATATATTAAATGCATCAAATTTAGAAACTTAATATTTATGGAAATATAGTCGAGCTCCATAAATAGTAAATAAAAATCTGGGCAAACACTTTTATCATATAAGCTAGCTTTTCAGCTATAAGTCATAAGCTACAAGCTATAAGCTCGAAAATTACTGATAAGCTATAAGCTAGCTTATCAGCTAGTTTCACCAAACATAGTCTAAAAGTAATCATTTTAACTTAATATTCACTATTGTAATATATATATATATATAAACACATCCCCTATATCCCCTACATATAATTCTCGATTGTGCTGAGTCTAAGTGGCAGACTCGCGTGCTTCGGGATCTAGGTGTCAATATTCTATGTTTCATCATTTGGCTTGGATAAATTTTGATTTAATTACAATCGAAAAATAATTAAGTTTGGAGTACCATAAATATGTTGATTACTTATGTTTATTTTATATTTATTAATTGTATTGAAATATTATTACATATTATGAACCATTGGATTGTGAAAGTATTTTAAAAGTTAATATATTTTAAATTACTTGTCGGTTTTACATATATAATATGTCAAATTAATTATCTTTGGATGAGCTTCAAATTGACATCCATATTGTATGTATAAAGTAAATTATTATTTTTATTTATAAAAAAAAATAATTTACTAATATCAAGTAGAAAAATAAAATTATTTCTCAGTTAATATATTCATGTTTAAAGTAGTTATAGATTATAAGTTAAAAAAGTATTATAATATAACACAGATAAGCCACACAATATATCTTTTGAAAATATATAATAATGCATATTTTTTATAAATAGTATTAAAATTTTAAATAACTTTATTAATTTTATTTTTTTTTTAGAAAAATTAACATTCACCCGTATAATACACATGTGCTATACTAGTATAAAATATTTGTAATTTCTTTTTGTAGTAGACCTCGCACGTGATTAAGACCATGAAAATAAATGCCGACATGGGCATAAAGATTGTGGGCACGGGCACCTCGCTCTTCTCCCAAATGAAAAAAATATATATATATATAACATAATTATTTCAAAAAAATCATGGTCACATAATTAGGAATTAATTTTGTTTAATCTTTATGTGTGGCTGTCATCACCATTAATGATTTCCAGTGGATGTCGAGACCCCACTACAAAATTGAACAAAATTGCTCTCACATTCACATAATTGGGTTATATATGTACGATAATTTCTAAATTTCCAATTATTTGATTAAGACAGTTGAGTTTGCAAGGGGTTTTAATTAAAGGAAGTCGGACAACGAAGTATCCCGGCTTTCAGTTCGAAACATTAGAAACAGGATAGGCCAAAAAGCGGGCATTATTCTGACGTGCGAGGTAAAATGACCCCTTCTAAGGCTTAAGCCAATAACAATTAAAAAAAAAGTTTGGCTCAAAAGTATGGAACAACGACTCTAAATACAAAATCCGACGATAAAATCGAATGAAATTAGGGGTGAAATGATTCAGAGACATCCATTAGAGCTGAGCTAGTTCCACGGGGTCCTCAAACTAGCATAAACCTGATCCACGAAAAAAGTGTAGAAGCCTAAGGGATGCATATAGGATTTCCCAACCTTAGAAGGTAGGAATTCCCAGAAATGGGGGAGCTCGCATTACTAGCATAAACCTGATCCACGAAAAAAGTGTGGATTTCCCAACCTTAGAAGCTAAGAGTTCTCAGAATTGGGGGAGCTCGCATTTGTGTTTGAGGTACGCGAGGTAGGTATCAGGCCAAGAAGTAGGAGAATTGGGCCTAACTACCTGGACCAGATCGGACGTACATGACCGTGGCTGGGGCACCCTGGGCGACAGTTACGATGTGAGGGCGTATAGAAGAAAATAGGACAAATCTTCAATTTATTAGTTGTGTTTGAGTGCTAAGTTTTAACAATTTAATTTCATATATGTAATAGTTTTAGAAATGTGTAAAAAAACTTTTTGCCATCCGAATTATCACGTGAATTATCACGTTTTGACGCTTTACCATATGATTTTTTTTTTTATTTTTTTTCCAAACCACTATATAAACAACACGTTTGTTTCACTTTGCCCTCCAAAACCATATTTAAAGTGGTTTTGAACAAATAAGCTGATTTAAAAGAACATTTTGAGAATTACAAATGTTTAAAATATTAAAAAAGTACCCAAATGACAAAATCATAATTTATAACAATTCAAATATAACACATTAAAACCTCCTTGCGTGGTTCCGAACTTGCTTCGATTGCCATGGTGGGTGAGAAAAGGCGGCGCTTGCGGCTATTGTCTGGCAGACGTCGCGGGCATCTTTGCGGCGGTTGATGGCGGCGGTCTAGCCATGGTTCTCCCATTGCCCGGCCTTCCCTGGTGTTTGGAAGGTGGGGCCCTATGGCAGCGGCTGTGGCTGTGCGATGGTGCGGCGGC